TAACCACTGCGCCACGAGGCTCATGCTTCACCCGCCAAAAGTTCTCTCAGTTCCTTTTAGCTGCCACTTAGATTAGACCTATTTTGGAGAGAGTTAGAGAGATTGAGTGTTTGCTGCGATCAGTATTTTGATTCTTCTGTTATTTAAATCACCTTTTTGTTGGATGTTTCACTTCTAAATTGATTTGTTCTACGTTTGATTTGATTCAGTTTTTTTCTTCTTTCCCCCGTTTTTGCCTATTCCCCCCCTTTCCCCCCATCTTCCCTACAATTTTCCCTTGTCTTTTATGGTTGCCCCGGGACTTTCAAGCGGTGCGTATTTTGTAATAACAAGATCCTGCTCACTGACGGCCATGACCGTTGCCTTTTTTGTCTTGGGGAACAGCACCAAACACACACTTATCCCGAGTGTGAAAGGCTTACAAAGCCTGCTCTTAAGCTGCAATCTTACCTGTGGGAGAAATCCCTCAATCCACCTTCGGTTGCCATGGATTCTGTGCTGTCCTCAGATCGTCAACCTGATTACCAAGAGCCTCCTAGACTGGTATTTAGTCCAATGACTCCTTCTTACCAAGCGGAGAAGTCTAAGTCTACCTCAAGACTGAAGTTGACGTTGACATTGAGGACCTCAGTTTGATCATCTAAAAAAAAAAAGATAAGACTACTTCAAAAAAGCCTATGAAATTATCGAAATCTATTCACCAGTCAACAATTCCACACATTCAACCACCCCAATCGACACTTCCATCTCCAATTTTGGAAGAAAGGTCTGAAATCCTGTTGCATAGCTATGCCTGTATAACCCAATGTTGTGCAGGGGTAGTGAAATTCATGCCAAAGCACAAGCCATGTCCAAGAAGCCATTCTGCAGGTGACTTGCACAACTAGTTGTACAGCGAATTGCATAATTAGATGGACAGCTTGTCATGAAATCCGGACTGATGGGCATAATTTATGCAAATTTATGCAGGCATAACTTTATGCCACACCAAGTGCAATACGATTTCAGCCATGGTATCCTAACTTTCTATTTCCCCTGCTGTCTGGTGTGTCTTTTTTTAAAAAAATTAACCCTCTAATTGCTTCATTTTTCCAGTGAAATCTGGAAAGGTTCTGATGCATACCTGAACTGGATTAGGGCCATTCAGTTCAGGGTGCACCTGAGTCAACAGCCCTGATTTGATGTAGAATTCATCATTTGGCCAAAGATGGTGTGCATCTCTGCTTAAAATGTTTTTGAATAGAAGCTGTGGGAAATACCCTTGTTTCATAGCAAATAAAATGATAACAATTAGGCTAGATCAGCATTCTCCACCTGTGTGCTTGGAGGTCAATGGGAGTTGTATTCTATGACATCTTCAGGGCATCTAATTGAGGAAGGCTGGATTCAAGGAACAGTCTGCTTAATGTAAAGCAGCTTTATGAAGTGATGTGCCCCTGAATTTGACACAACTCTGGGAGGCAGTGGAAGATAGGAAGGCCTGGCTTGCAGACAAAAACACTGAGGCCTTATGACAGGCAATTTTAGTCTATATTCTACAGCAAATGTCAAAATGTTTGTATCAGAAAGCTGGACATTATCCTGTATATTTACAAACCCATCAGGGTAAATGCTATTCTTTACTGTTGTGAAGTAAGCAAGAATGAATTATATCAATTTACTCAGAGTACTCACTTCAGTTTACTGAAAAATGACATATCAGAATGCTCTCCTATTTTTCACTGGACTCTTAAAACCTTTTCTTTAAAACTGGTTAGTATACATCAACTTTCTCTCAGATTATTTTTAAATGATGGTTGTTTGTATGCACATCTTTATGATTTTAATGAGTTAATGTTTCTGTTCAAAGGTGATTTGTCTGTGCTGTATGGTATGAATTTAAAGATAAGGGTTCATTCATGCATTATTTCTGTAAGAATTTTTTATACTATGTTTCTTTTAAAAAGGAAACGTCGATACAGTTCACAACAATTAAAAACCCCAACAACCTCTGTATGTTTCTCATTCAAAAGGCAAAGTGGAAGAAAAATACACATGGAAGGGTTCACTGCAAGCTACTAGCATTTATATGCTAATCTAAGAGAGATGGAACCCTTCTGTTTTTTACTTTCGCTTGATGACGATTTCGCTCTACAGCAATTTCGCTGGAACGAATTAACGTCATGAAGCAAGGCACCACTGTAGCTTGTATCTGGAGCTGGTAGCCTTCTAGATGATCCTGGGCTTCATCTTCCATCAGCCCTTCAAAGTATGGCTAGAGGTCAGGGACAATGAGAGCTCTCCAAGCATAATCAGTGTAATCATCATTGTTGTTGTCGTTGTCACCATAATCTAGGACCCATCAATTCATTCTCTATGTCAGTCCATGCTGGACTGCAATTCCTATAATCCTTCACCCTTGGTCAGGATGGCTAGGGCTTATGGGAGCTGGAGGCTAACAATATTTGGAGGTTCTTTGCCCCTGCCATATGGTGCAACCGAAGGGAAGAGAGCACTTCATCTTTCTATAATACATTTTATATTCAGGCACAAAAATCTGATTGCAAAGTGTGACTGTATGAAGAGAGTCAATTAAAAAAATCCTATTGAAAAGTATGGAAGTATGTGGAATCTCTGTGTGTGTGTGTGTGTGTGTGTGTGTGTGTGTGTGCACATGAGTGTGCACACATATTTCCTCCCTAATTCTTTGTTTCTTTAAAGGAAATCTGTCAATTCATCAACTCATACTCCCTTATAAAAATGTGTGGAATGTGTATTTTTGCCCAAATCCATAATATAACATAATAGAATATTGCATCATGAGCCCTGTGGCGCAGTGGTTAAACTGCAGTATTGCAGTTATGCCTCTGCTCATGACCTCACTTTGTTCCCACCGGGCTCAGGTAGCTGGCCCAAGGTTGACTAAATGGATTACTTAGCTCACTGGGGGCACAAAGTGTTCCTTGCAAAATTATGTGCTGTGGCACTTTGGGATGATATATAAGTTGAAACAATAAACATAAATAAAATGTTCAAAAGATGAAAGGGATTTTAATATTGCATGGCTTAGAACAGGAGACAGCAAGCCACTGTTTCAGCACCACAAAACACAACATTGCTGCAACAGTGTGGCATAATTTCTAGTAAAAGTGTTTAGGGCCACATTTCCATCCATCACAGTTACTCCAAGTGCTTAGAAATACTAAATGCTTAATTAGTAAGGCTAATTAATACCTAATTATATAAAGTTTATTTGAGGTTTGTGGACAAGGGAGAACTTGGCCCAAGTCCTGTAAAACCAGATTGAAGCTACATATTCATTTCACAAGCATGGTTTAGGGTGGTTGTTTTTTAAAGCGGTCTATTGATAACATGTTTTGTGTCATGCCTGCAAGAAATCTCACACACTTTAAACCAATTTTCTTTGGGATAAAGAAAGCTTTGTTTAAACAATGCCCTCCTACCCCTTCCGTCCATACTAGAAACATGTTAATGAGAATATGTGTCAAAGAGAAGGAAAACATGTCAGCCTTTGTGCCAATTCATGGCTGACAGTGTTTCCATTGACTTCAGTTCCCTGACTCAGTTATATGGAATATTATTCAGTGCTGTGTTTTCCTCCTACTGTGAAAATATGAAGGCTTTCCCCAGAGTAAGGTCTCCTGTCTCACCCCTGACTGGCAACTTGGAGGCCCTTCTCTATTTTTGTGCAGGTGATAACTAAGCTAGTCGTTAAGAATATAATTACTTCTTGATTGCCTCCATCCCTCTTGAACTGAATGCAGGATGCAGTTTCATGCTTTCATGAAATAAATGAAAAGCATTTATATCCTGAAATGCTTTATCCTTGCTTCACAATAATTGGTTAAAATGTTTACAGTTGTAGAAGTACACATAAACGTGTGCATAATGGATTTTTGGCTAATGAGTTTACAGCTTCTATAGCCCTTTGTCTTCTAGCTTGGGCTTTTGTTTTTTGTTTTTTTCTTAATAATAATGTATACATTAAAATATTTTCAGTCACTCTCAACACCAGCCTCCAGTCACTCATGTATTTGTAGTTGCTGAAATCTGGGATGGCAAAATGGCTGCTCGGGTGTAGAGTTTGGACTCTTACTGGTTCATTACTCTGGAATGACAGAAAACTAAAAACAGCACAGATTTCAAAGGGGAATGTGGTGCAAGCCTGAAAAGAAAATAGTGAGGCAACTTTAATGAATAGGTGCTCTGGCCTGAAATTGACTTCATTTATTTTTTAAGGTCCTTGTAATGAAAAACTGGAGTCTGGGACAATAAAATGATGAAAGAGTTTATCGAGACTAATCACAGGAGGATTTGGAACTCTTTAATGAGGCAGTAACTTCTGTGTGACTTGCCTAAGTGTGTGAAACGCAGAGTGGAGTGCTAATTGAGAAAAAGTTGAGGTGAAGTCTCAACATCCTTGTGCTGTTTTGAGTGACAGCTCATATATATGGTATATATGCTTTCTTTCTTTCTTTCTTTCTTTCTTTCTTTCTTTCTTTCTTTCTTTCTTTCTTTCTTTCTTTCTTTCTTTCTTTCTTTCTTTCTTTCTTTCTTTCTTTCTTTCTTTCTTTCTTTCCTCCTTTGCAGATTTTTCGCCTCTATTGGGGATACACCTTTGTTGCAGGTATAATATAAAGCTGGCTATTAAGTTTGGTGAGACAACCATGTCAGGCATCACTTTTGGGGTGTCATGAAAACAACAACAATTACTACTTCTTTTTGTTACAAATACGTTTCAACTGCCAAGAAAGGGGCAAGTCCATGTGGCACTTCTGCTTCCTGGGTCAAAGTAACTTGACTGGGCATTAGGTACTACATGCTGTGATTTAAGGTGGTATGTGTGGGGTGCTGTTTGCTACTTCATCTCCAGGAGCAAAATGGTTTGAGTTAGCCATGGATATCACATAACAGAGTGTTTGGAAGAAAATAGATCTCTTTCATTTCCTATTTTTATTGTACTAATGCAGGGTCTTTACAATGCTGGGTCTAATGCAACTGTGGCACTTCAGCTGCCTTGGCCTAAACCTCACATAATTCCTTACCATTGGACATGCTGGCTTGGGCTAGAGAACTACTGCCAACCAGCATTATACTGTGCTAGATGGACCCATAGTCTGAGTCAATATGTTCCTGTATACCTCATGGCATCTCTGCCTGGGAGAGTTGCTGCCGGTCAGGATTAACAATATGGGGTTAGACTGACTATTGGTTTGGTTCCGTTTGAGGCAGGTTCGTGGTTCCCATTTCTTCCTTCAAAACTTTAAAGAAGTGTCTGAGGGGCTGATAGATCGTTATATGTAATTGTCAAGCATAAGACATTCAGATGGATTTTTAGGCTTTTGGTTTTTCAAACTTGTATTCTGTTTTTCTCCCTTTTAGCACTGGTGTTGATTTTTATCTATCTATCTATCTATCTATCTATCTATCTATCTATCTATCTATCTATCTATCTATCTATCTATCTATCTATCTATCTATCTATCTATCTATCTAGCCCATCTAACCAATGGTTACACTAGGTGGACTGCAACAATTGTAAGACAAACAAACAACATAACCAATTTTACTATTTGGGCAAAATATGCATATAATAATTTTATTGGTACATCTTCTATAGTGAATACTGTCAGATGATTGTTTGCCTCACTGGAGGAAAGACAAAAACATATAACTAATAAATACAATTAAGTATTTTAATATTTATAATATGTATACATTAATGGGTACAGGCATTAAGAGATCCTCAGCTATGGAATGTTACAACCTTACCCCCTATATGGCAGGCGTGCTGTTTTCTGATCTCAGTTTCATTTATACACCTTCAGATTTTTGATAAAATTAGGAGATATACAAAGTGTATTCAGAAAACTTGATGGCAATGGATATTTTTAAGATATGGTGAAATTATAATAAACACACCCACTGATGAAAATGAGCCAAGAAAAGCTCAGTTGGAAATTAAAGTGATAATGAATGCTGAAATGGTTTTCACTGACAATGCGAAAAACAAAAGAAAAATGAAAAGCAAGTGGATGGAAAATTGTACGTCCCAGATGATTAATAAGCAAGAAAGGAACTGAGAGGGAGGGAGGATTTATCTGTGTGGATGTGGATGTGAATGAGACAGTTAATATTTGTTCCTGAAGGATTATTCTATTCAGAAACTGTGAATGAAATTACTTTAGATTTATACCTAGGTAACAGGAGGATGTTTCAGTGCAAAAAATTTGGATATGAGCATAAAATATAAACAAGAAAAAATGAAATTGGGTGAATAAATAAGGCAGTGTGAATAATACAAAAAAACATATAGGGAAAGCCAGAATATGTGTGTGAGAGGCACTGAGAGAATCTCTTTGTGACGCTCTGTGAGTCTGACTGCTGTCTGAGGGGAAGGAAAGACAGGCCTTTGTTTCTTAGACTCCTCAGTCTGATGAAAATAGCTCCTGGAAATGCCATTTCAGATTAGAGGGAGCTGGCTAGAGAGGTGGAGATTTCATTACGTTCCTCTTTTGTGTGATGTTCTCGAGATGGTAATGTAAGAGGGGAGCCATAAATAATCCAATCACAGCTGCAGCATCCCAGAGATTTAGAGTGCATGTTAATAGCAAAGGCCTTTGGGGTGTTTCACTGTGCGGCAAAGCCAAACGAGAAATGATTGCCCCCAAACAGCAACCAAAAGACCACCTGTCTGTCTTCTGACATGCCGGGCCAAAAGGAGCTTGCCATTGCCTTCCTTCCAGCTCAGTGGAACTGAAATGAAAATTGCAAATATTCAGAACGGTTTGGGTTTTTTTTGTCACTCAGATGTATGTTTGAATGAAACGCTTCAGCACAACATTTGAATGTGCTTTCTGAATGTGCTCTTTTAAAACACTGAACATGCAAAATTCATATGATTTCTATTTGCTGCTTTTCAGTAATTTACATTTTGGGAGATTTCAAATATGAAATCATATAGATTGTCAGTGTCAAATTCTCATTAATATTTTGTTTTATGTTTTAAATAAGAGAGAAGAGCCTGTCGGACACTAGATGCCATTGCATGTCTATTGTCAAATAGTGGAAGATGAAACATGCTGTTACATATCAGGTATCAAATATTGTTTAATAGGATATATTTGCTGTTTAAAAACTGTTTTTTAATTTTTAAGAATTATGGGTTCCTTAAGATCAAACTACATAGTTCTATATACTCAGAATGAATTTATTCTCCAGAGCAAAATCTTACACAAGGAAAATTGCACAATTCAAACATAAAACTGAGATATCAGCAAACTTGGGGGGGGGGGAGAGAGAGAGAGAAAAGTTAGAAAAATATTGGAGATCCCTGAGCATACTTTTGGTTTTAAAAGAAGAAGGACATAAGGAATTCCAAGCCTAGAATTTAACCATATGTTTGAAGTAAAATATTATTTTACACATAGATGTTTCTCATGGATTCTTCAACTGAAACAGTTTTGAGGCAGCTTAGGTACCTGCTACTAATTTTCCTGTACAAAGACTCTAGAAAGTCACAAGGGATACTGGATGTTTCTAGGACACACTCTGCATTTACAGTGGGCTGGGTATAGTGATATCTTGACACTGTTCTATGTAAATGTGGTGTGCACATTTAGAACACAGAAATTTCTCAGTAGACATACATGTTGTGGGGGGAAGAGGGAGGTGCCACATTATCCTTGTATGAAATCTGAACGATGACTGGAAAAAATGTACAGACATAAACTAGCTTATATAAACTGGCAACCCTTTGCCTAACAAGATGAGAAGACACATTCCAATCAGCAACACTAGAGATGGAATTTGAAACCTGCACCTCTGACTTGAACCTCTATCCTCCATTTTGAAAATTATTTTTAACAAAGGAATTGGGTATGCAAATCTGGCCATGGTTTTTGGAATGTTTGTATTTTTTTTTCTGCACCACCTACCACTTTGAGGTGCCTAGGCTGCTAAGAACTGTACAGGGTGAAACACTAGTTTATGTTTGTGATGCATGTAGAAAGCTTATCAAAAACATAGGGGAGTCAAGACCCATAATGCCACATCTGGCAATCTCGGGTGTCTGCCAGCATCCCAGAGCACCTGATGAGAATTACTACTGTGACCTCCCCTGCTCTTACTCTCCACACCTTAGTAGCACAGATGTGTTTTTACTATAGAGAGAGTACTGTACAGTCTCTGACATCACCTCAGTAGGGTTTCTGTTCCTGATGCTCCCCGCTGTCCTGCAATGCCTAAATGGGCATCCTAACCAGTAGGGCTGTTGGTTTTTCCAGTTCAGTACTCTGATTCACTTGGCGACTAGATCTAGTCACACTTTTAATTAGAAATGGGAAGCATTCCTTTTGGACTACATATTCCAGAACAGTTCAGCCAGTAGGGCCAAAAAAAGAGAATGTTTCCCATCTTTGGCTTCAACTTCCAACAGTACTCATGAACTAACACCATCATGAGTGCTGTGAGAAATTAAAAGGTTGACAGACTCATAGCTCACCAGAACAGAATTGTGGCCCACCTCAAGGATGCAGCAAACCCTACCCTTTGAATACGATACCTTATCACATACTATCTGTGACTAGCTGTTGAAAAGTATCTGTGTTCAAAGATCCAATATGGATATCAGACAGTAATCCGGACAAACCTGAGAAGATCTCCACAGGAGGACATGGAGTAGAATGTTTGGGAACATGTCTGCTTCATGTTCCACAGCTTAATACCCCTCAGGTACAGATAGGGATATATAGATGCAACTTTGTGCCAGCCTGGGTATGGGTTTTTTCTTTTCCTTTCATGTAACACTGTGCCATAGAAATCAATTCTGTGGCTTCCCACCCTTTTCTTCAAGAAGAAGTTGTTCACAACTTGCTCTGGGTGCCCGCAGTGAGCACAGGGGAGAGGGGGCATGGAGGTCACAGGCAAAAGGCTGCTGCGTGCGAAGCTTCTGAGACAGCAGCCAGGGCTGTATTTTTAGCTGCTCTAGATTCCTTCTGCTGTCACGGCCGGGAAGTGATGCTCATTTTATTGCCACAGGGATATGCCTAGAATATCAGGCTGCTTGGGGGGGGGGGGGAAATTGACTATGCAGCAGAGCCGAGACTCACTGAAGCTTTTGTGGCTGATTATCTGCTTCCCTTACGAAGGTGAGAGAGAAAAATAGCCGTTGCTAGTTTCTTGTGCCATTTCTTCAGCTGGTAGATAGACAGGAATTGTGATTTACAGAGAAATGCAGTCTGCAAGAAGCTTGCTTTTGACCCACTCATTTAATTTCAAACGGTTATATCCATTCTGTTTGGTCTTAGAACAGAATGAAGCAGATTTTCCTTTTTTCCCATGTGAGCAATTCATTTTCTAATCATTTGTGTAACAATACCACCCAATTCATCTTTACTCAGAAGTCAGCCCTGCTTAATTTGATGGAACACCCATGTATGTATGTATGTATGTATGTATGTATGTATGTATGTATGTATGTATGTATGTATGTATGTATGTATGTTGATGGAACACGCATGTATGTATGTATGTATGTATGTATGTATGTATGTATGTATGTATGTATGTATGTATGTATGTATGTATGTATGTATGTGTGCATGGTGCGTGCGTGCGTGCGTGCGTGCGTGCTGGGACTGGAGTGTTGCAGGGCATTATTGTCACACACAACACACACTGCCAAGCCACTGTAGCTCATGCTGCACCTTTAACAGTCAGTGGTATGGCAGCAATGGGGGGGGGGGAGAACTTTGAAATGAATGCTTCCACTTGAAAGCAAGCTGAACGGGAAGGTGCACCTTGCTGTAATACCAAATTACATTTCCAGGGGTCTGAATAAGTTTCACATAAAGGCATACACACTGGATTAAAAAATAAGAGTGATAGGTGCTGAAAAGCTAAAACACTCAAAGCCCTTTATCTAGATGAATAGATAATATGAGTATATGTTTGTGTTTTCTCCTCTCCTCTATTTTCTAAAAAATCTCAATTTCTTATTTGTCTGATTTATGAGGAAGCCTGCAGCTTTGAGGCTTCTTTCTTGAAAAGCCAAATGAAATTCTCACTTATCCTTACCTATCTTTTACAATAGGAATATGGAATGTGGGGCTCTCTAGATGTCATTGATGTCAGCTCACCTCCTCATAGGTTAAGGTGGCCAGGCTGATGGGAATTGAAGTCCAACAACTACAGATACACGGTTTGCCCTACACTTTCGTCCAACATGTTTGGTGAGACCTATATAAGGCAGCTATATATGCATGTTGTCCCCACTATGTGTCACAGAAGGACCACCCTATGTAGCCTTGGGCAAGCTACACAGTCCCAAGACATCTCCAGAGGAAGAGAATGGGAAACCACTTCTAAGCACATGTACCTAGAAAAGCCTGGAAAAGGGTCACTGTTAAGTCTGAACTGATTTGATGGCACAGGATTATTATTACAATGCACATCCAAACCAGTTGTCCAGTCCAGCAAGAGATTTGCCTGCTCCGATATGTATGCAACAATTGCAGTTGTTTAACAGTTCCTGCATATCTCTGGAACAGGATATATAACAACTAAAAGCATTTAAAAGCGTTTTCCTATCATTCTATTTACAGACACCATCTTCTCAGTGACGAGACTCTCTCCCAGAGGAAGTCAAGCTGGCTCAGTCCTTATTAGAACATCTAGAGGGTGGCCAAAACTATACTGTTAAAAATAAAACATATTCTATTGTGCGTGACTTTGGGATCCCTGGTGGGCAAAAAAGCAATTAACAAATGCTTTTTCATAATAAATAATAACAGAGATTTCGTCCGGATTCTTACGACGTATTTCTTGAAATGTATATTAATCCAAGCCCACCTTCAGTTTGAGCTCAGATTATTACACCTGCTGTGTGGGAAGGACAGATTCAGAACAGATCATACTTTTTGCATGCCTGTCTGCCCTCTAGATTAATCTATCCAAAGAAAGGCTGAATCACAGTGGCAGGAAACAGCGCTATAGGAAATTTGCTCAGATATTATTTCTTCAGAAGATTTCATTCACAGTGGATTTGGGTCTCCTGGGACAGAAAGGCCTATGTTCATTTCTCAGCAGAGGAATAAACCCCAGCAGGCAGTAAAACCTTCTCTTTCCCCTCACACCACAGGAGAGAAAGTATTTGTCAACAACAAAGGAAGAATTCAGCAATTTATGGAAATCCTGTGCAGGCACTGTAAACAGAATCTCCCTATCACCCTGCAGACACACCTGCAATGCTCTGTGGAATGTCTGTGGAAGACAAAGGAAAACAGGAGTGGCTCTGTGCATGGACAGACACTATCCAGAACAAGGAAGAAGTGAGTTAGCAACATAGCGCTATTTTTAAACACACACAGAAAGAGACAGACAGACACAGTAGATAGATAGATAGATAGATAGATAGATAGATAGATAGATAGATAGATAGATAGATAGATAGATAGATAGATAGATAGATAGATAGATAGATAGATAGATAGATAGATAGATAGATAGATAGATAGATAGATAGATAGATAGATAGATAGATAGATAGATAGATAGATAGATAGATAGATAGATAGATAGATAGATAGATAGACAGATAGACAGATAGCAGAAACCTCCAGAAAGGGTTACTTTTCTTCCACATCTGTAGTTCTCCTGTTCACATGCAAAAATTAATCACTTCACTTACAACAATATACTGGGCAGAAAGAACAAATTAAAAACTGCCTTCATTAAGAAGGTGCTTAAAACATATCTCTGTTCTCTCCCCCCCCTCAGCTTCTGTCCTTTTCTATTTTTGACTCCATTTTAAGCAGTAATGCACATCTTTTCTGTCACATATCTGATGTTACATACCTGTCTCTCTGTAACATCACTCTGAATAAGAGTTCCCTTCAAAATCATGCAAACTGTATTAGGAACACCAGTAACAATTTTACTCACCTATGAGTGGATTTTGTTGTTGCAAATCCATATGTTCTCACTTCTCATTTTCTCCCCCTTACTCTCCCCTTTCTTGTTCTTTTCTTGTATGTTTGGACCATAAATTGCATAGACAGGGACCAATTTCTAGGAAGGTTTTTTTTTTTAAAAAAAGCTTAGTTACCTTTTTTTAAAAAAAATCCCTGCACAGACGGGTTAAGATTTGCATTTCCTGATTTCTACAGTGCAGAAGACTCTGTTTTTATATTGTTTCTTTGCTTTGTTTTAAAAGACTATTTATTTATTTATTTGTTTGTTTGTTTGTTTGTTTGTTTGTTTGACTCATACTGGCATGCTCAAAAGCCTGGGTTTTTGGAAACCACTGTTTGTTATGTCACAAGTAACCTAGCCCCATCAGGCTGATGGGAAGCAAGAAATACAGGAAGCAAGTGAAGAATGCAGAAATCAGCACCTGAAGAGAAAAAGAAGAGAGGAATAACCCCACGGCATTTTATATGTGCAGCTCATCCTTTGTTTGAACTCTGGCAAACCTGCCAGTTTTACAGCAGGAAATTGACATAAGTGAGTCACAGGAGAAAGGATGTGACTTAGAACCCAGAGCATGCATTGGGTGCAGAGGTCCCAGGTGCAGGTAAGGCTGAGAACATCTTCTGCTAGATACCCTGCCACTAGCAGTTACTAGTGAGTAAGATGATGATACCAATAATGATGAAGTGGGCTGAACATATAACTCTAAGGCAACAGCCTATGATTCAGATGTTGATGTTGGGTGACCTGAATCAACTCCTCCATCTGTCATCTAGGTCTGAAATATTCTGAGGCTCACTTCTATTTTGTTTACTTTTGCTTTAACATGGAACATACGTGGAGTGCCTCCTCAGGTAACACAGGGTGTGCTCAAACATCTACAGAGGCGGTGCCTAGTCTGCATTGGAAAGAGTCACTTTAATGGGAGCTATCTCCACTCTGTCTTCTGGGGAGTCACCCCCGCCCAGCTCCAAATGTTAGTAGCCCTCCAGATGGGGAAAAAAAAGTTCCTGCTTGGGCATGAATCAGAGTCTGGCTGGAGTGCACTTCCCTGGACTTTGTGTGATCACTGGGAAACAGATTGCACCAAACCACTCCACAAGCAGCCCAAACTGCAATCTGTTTCCCTGTGTGGTTGGTCACACCCATAATAAGAAGCTACTCAACGCCATCCTAATTCTTGTATACATCAGGCACTCAATAATACATCACTCCCTCCTTCTTCCCTTTTCAGCTTTAGTTAAGTCAATTAAACATTTTCCGAAATGGGAAGGCACCAGTGGATCATGGATTTTGTTCCTGATTTGGAAAGAGAAAGTCAATACAGGGAGGGAGATTCCTTCCCTCCTCCTTCTCCTCCTCTCAGCTGGGCCTGGCTGGGCAGCAGCATCCCTTTGTGAGCGTAGATGATGTCATCTCCAGACTGTCTTGCTCTTCCCCCCTCCCCTTTCCAATTCCTTTAAGGGGGAGGGGGGAAGTCATTAAGCGCTGCAGTAAGAGCTGATTCAGGCCACTGGGGTTTAGTCCTCTTAGAAAATGCGCTTGGGAGGGATGATGGAGGAGAGACTGCAGAGTCTGCTCGCTGCCGACCTGCTGAATTATGACTTTAATGCAGTCACTTTAATAACTTGCCGTAGCTCCAACCACCAGACGCAATTTATGGCAGAGCAGCCGCCCAAGCGTTTTCCTTTCTCTGAAGACTAAGCAGATCTCTGATTACCATCCTCTCTCCCCAGCCCATTATTTCTCCCCGCTTGCTTTGCTAATGGGAAAATGTTATGTGCCTCTGTTCTTTTTTCTTCCTCCAAGCCTTGTTTTTATGAAATGGTGGGAAAGGGGAGACTGGAGCAAAATGCCTGAACAAAAACTCTTTTCTCCCTACATCTTGTAGGCCCCAGATAAGAAACTGGTAAGGTCTTATCCACCCATCCATTCCACGCACCCACCCTGAACTCCTCAACCCTATGACTTTCAAATCTTGCATGAGAAAAGTTGGGACAAACAAAACAATGGCCTAACTAAAAAGACAGCATGCTAAAAATGGCTTAAGTCAGGATAAGAGCATAGGCCTGACATCTTCCAGATCCAGTGCACTTTCCAGTAAGTTTCTGATGATGTCTGAGGATGGCAAAAGTCACGGCAATGAACAGAGAAATCTACTTGGGAGTCTTTATAAGGGAATTTTACCTACTATGGAAACAGACCCAGCTAACTAGATGAGTTATACAATACATGGAAGGGCACATGGTGTCCTGCTTTTGACATTAAAAAATGCTGCTTCCTGTAGCTGGACCTGTCAGCAAGCGGGGGAAGAGCTCAGAAGAATCTGGAGGCTAGTGAGATACATCTGGCAGATTTTGGCAAGGTGGGAGCGTCGACTAGATGTGTTCAGATTCGAGTTTTGGGACTGTGGCTCTCAGACTTCCCCAGACAGAATTCAGTGAGATGCCACCCCAAAACATAAATTTGCAGTATTTCTAGTGGCATCTGGCAGAATTTGAACTGCTTTTGTTTTTCCTAGAATCTGAAGAGGTTACTTTTTGGAATGTAGCTCCCAGAATATTCCAAACACTGAGGCCATCGCCATGGGAGATTCTTAGCACTACAGTCAAGAAAAATAACCTTTTCCGAGCTCTGATTTTTTAGTACCTCAGCTTGTGACTGATTACTTTGCAGATCACAATTCCATTAGTTTGTAGGCTACCCTGTTAGAGGCAGATAAGAAATATGCTCTCTGCTTGTTTCATGCATGGTCACAGTGTTTCTTGAGATATGGCCTGGGCCACTCAGTCCTGAGCTGTTCAAAGGCAACTCTAGAACAGTTTCATAACATGAACAGAAACAGGAAAAAGAAAAGCCTACCTCTCCCTCAGAGGGAGATGAACAACACTGATACTTCAACATGTGCTCAAGCAGATAGAGTGAGCCTCATGCCCTGCCTTCTTTCCCATCTCCAGTCCTTTACTGCAGTGGCTCCCAACTTTGGCTCACCAGATGTTCCTGGACCGCAACTCCCAGAAATCCTGGCTAGCACAGCCAGTGGTGAAGGCTTCTGGAAATTTTTGTTCAAGAACACCTGGGGACCCAAGGTTGAAAACCACTGCTCTACTGACTTTCTCATCCATTTGTTTCCCCCAGCAGCTGTGCAGTAACAATAAAGCCCTGATGGCCAGACTGTATAGGGGAGGAAGGAGGGGAAAAGGCATGGTGGTGGAGGGACAGGACAGGAAATCTTGCTCTCTTTTCTGGATTAATTTAAAGCCACAGGAAAGAGGAGAGAAAATTTGGACCTTCTGGCTTTTGTTCAACTGCAGCTCCCAACAGCCCTAATCAGAAATGCCAATGGTGAGTGGCGATGGAAGTTGTAATTCAACAATGTCTGGAAAGCCATATGCTCCCCATCCTTGATTTAAAGGCCTTTATTCTAGGGCCAGAGCCACAAACTGTGTTCCAGGCCTTCCTTGAAAACAATGACCTGCCATAGTCTAGCACCTATGAGATGGTATGAGTTGTTTTTGCTCCTCTTCAAAATGAGGAGAGCTAAAGATCTCCCTAGACCAGACACTAATTCCCTAGCTAGAAGCAGTGCATCCTTAAGAGGAAAAGACTGTTTGTTCTAACATGAACTTGGCCGAATCTGCATCTGGCAAATTATTTTGCTTTTGTTTTGTAATTCCTCAGTCAGCAGACAGCAAAGCTTTGTTTGCATGTTTGATGTCTCATCCACATAACTTGAAACACTTTGCGCTGCCTGGAGGAACAGTTGGTGTAAGAAGAGGAAACACACTTTCCCCTTAAGGTGTGAGGTGACCATTGGAGGAAGGAGAAGAACTGACTGCCAGAACAAAGCTGTTTGTCTGAAACAGATCATTCACCTAGTACTGTACAGAAAGTGGAACATCACTTTTGTGTATTGGTGAAGGATGCATATAGTAACTATTTTCTTACAGCAGAATGACTGCATCTTGAACTTCAGCATGGCAGGTACCAGTAATGCATATTTTGATGGAATTAAGAAGGTATGCAGGGGAAGTATAACCAGTGCAATTTTTGTTTGTCATCTATTTATTAGAGGAAAGAGACATCATCCTGGGGTGAAAAAGTGACAAGTGCCCATCAAAGCAGTTGTGCTGCACACTAGGACTTGATGTGCTAAATCACGGAGGTGGGGGCAATGGCAGTGGAATCAAACATAACAAGTCCTAAACAACAATATATTGGCAGCCCTTTGTTATTAAGAGAGATGTATGTGTGAAAGATCCCAAGACATTCTACAGTGATGCCTAAGAATGCAACCTCAAGAGACCTGGATTCACCTCTCAGACATGTAACATCAGTTTTTAGATTCTTTTCTACCTTTTATTATTATTATTATTATTATTATTATTATTATTATTATTATTATTATTATTATTATTATTATTATTATTATTATTATTATTATTATTATTATTATTATTATTATTATTATTATTATTGCAC